CATTGGATTAAATGTTCAAAATAAGGTGTTAGGATCATAAAAAACTCTTTTAAACTACAGTTAGAAATACAAAACAAAAGACAGCACTATACGACCGCGATCGCAATGCAAATAGCAAACTGTGAGAATAAACAAACTAAAGCTTAGGAAGCTTAAAACGGATAAATAAAGCTCGTAACCACAGGCTAGGGGTGAGCTTACGTGGGTAACATATTGCTACGATTGTAGAATTAACAAACTACCACTCCATTAAAAAGGTATATGAGTAAAAACAATTAGTGTAAATCCTTGCTAAAGTCTCTTCAGCTACATTTTTTTTTTACTTTGGTTAATTTTGTGAATGGTATTCGGTGTAATGTGCGCACTTCCATACATGCCCGACGGGCATTGCCCGTACTGATTAAAGGCCTATTCAGACCTAAGCGGTATTCGCTACCGTCTGCGGCAGAGAAAACCCAGTGGGTATGCGGTAATAATACTGTTCAGACCTAAGCGGTATTCGCTACCGAGCGAAACCCGCGTGGTATGTACCTCTACCCACAGCGGCAGCGAATATCGCTCAGGTCGCTCTAGCCGCGATACTTGATACTAAATACCTGAGCGAAACCCGCGCGGTATGTACCTCTACCCACAGCGGCAGCGAATATCGCTCAGGTTTAAATAGGCCTTAACTGCCCGACTAAACTATCGGCCGACAAAAAATCGGTGGTCTGCGCCTAGGCTAAGTGTTTCCAGTTTTTAAGGGTAAATAATAAAAACCTTGCTTTTGCTCGCGTTAGTTTCGGTTTGCAAGAGTCTTTATTATTCGCCCCCCATCTAAAAACTGGGGCAAAAATTTTTAAGCACTGGTTTAAATGGTCCGAAGTAGGTAGGGTTAACCTGGGACGTGTTATTTTTAAAAGCGTAATAGCAAAATTGGTTATTTTGTACTCTGTACTAAATATATTTTTCTTTCAAAAAATAAATAATCATAAAAGTGCTTAAAATAACTGGTAACTGGTTCATAGATTTGTAAGTAATTTGTAGCTGTATTTTTTTTTACTAAATAAGTAGTATTCTATGTATTGTAACTGTACCTATTAATAAATACCTACCTGTACCTGTTATAGTAAGATTGAGTGAAACTGTCTATTGTTTGTAGGCCCGTTTTTTTGTTATTTCTTTGTTATTTAAATGTTGTGCCTGGCTCTAATCGGAGTTCAGACTTAATATTGTGTTAATTGTATTGTTATTGTTTGTTCTCTGTAGTGTAGCTGTGCCTTAAATAAATAAATAATAAATATGTTAGCCGGCAACCCTATCCGACTGTACATGTAAACCCCGGGATTAGTGCCGCAACTGGATTTATTGTTGTTATCGACTGTACGTAATAAGCCGACAGAAGATATTATGCGTACGATCAAAATTAGCGCGTTATTTAGTTAGGCTTAATTTAATAGTTCAGACTGTGTTAATTTAGGATCTAAAATTGAAATGTGTTGGTGGTCGGGATGCTAGGAATTTGGTCCATTGTCTAATATATTTTCTAGGGTATTTTGGGAAATTCGAATCAAATTTCAAATGTTACGGGACTATTCCCACCTCTCGTTCCCACCGTTGCAACTCCTGTGTAGCTAGGATCTACAGCTTGACCTCCAATAAATACCCAACCAGTGAAGGTAAAGTTTGTCCCGGGGGAAAGTTAAACTGTCATTGGACCCGCAACGAAATTAATCAGAAGAACATAGGAGGAGTTCGAAGTTAAGATTCGACTTCCCTCCACTGCAAAGCGGATGACTTCAAATGTTAGACTACCCATGTTAAATAAGCTGTAGCGATATAATCAATATCATAACATGTGTAGATAAATTGTTGTTACAGGTATTTGACAGTTTACATATGGAGGGTACGCGGCCTAAATTCCATAACCTTGCTGCCCTATAGGCCGTCAGTATTGCGTACTATGTGCCTTGCCCTGCTGATTCAGTTTGCATTTCATAAAAAGAAAAGGAGGACCCTTTTCTTAAGAAGTTCTTCTACCAATAGGCAGTTTTCTACACCCTGTATATGCAATACTAGCGGCCGCCCGCGACTTCGTACGCGTGAATCCCGTTTTTCCCGCTAATTCCCGTTCCCGTGGGAATTTCGGAAATTCCTTTCTTAGTGCACCTCTACGGTACCTAAGCTACGTCCCTTCCAAATTTCAAGTGCCTACGTTTAGCCGTTTAGGCTGTGCGTTGATCTGTCAGTCAGTCAGTCAGTTTCTCCTTTTATATATTTAGAAGATGCTACTGTACGTGGTTAGCAAGTTTTAAGTATATTGCCAGCAACAAATAAAAACATCAGCCATCCGAATGCAATATATTACAGTCGTTTACTTCCTTTGTGCGGCTAAGAACTGCATTTCGTAATGCAAGCCTTCGCCTTTGGGACTAAAGCGTACCTACTGATTTATTAGATACATACGTTTTCTTAAATTATGTACCGGGAAAGAGTTGGAGTTTCAGAAAAATGCGAGGTTTGCTGTAGTTATCAGGCTAGGTATTAGAAGAGAAAAGAAAAAAAACTTTATTTGTCACTAAAATACAAAAAGACAATAGAAAAAGATAATAATTATGGGAATATTCACACCTTTCGTTCCCACTGCTGCAAGTCCTGTGTAACCAGTGTGCCCGCCAATAAAACTCAACCAGTGAAGGTCAAGTTTGTCCCGGGAGAAAGTTAACTGTCATTGGACCCGCAACGAATTTAATCAGAAGAACATAGGAGGAGTTTAATCAGAGAACAGAGTACTTTCGTATCCATGGCCCAAACATGAAAAAATCAATAACAGACTATTGCTATTGACGTCGAAGAAATGGGACAAAATACCATAAAGACTTTTTTGTTTGAATTCTATAACAGCAAAAAGCTTATTAAAGAGTTATATCAGCCGTTGTTGTTAAACCACATATCAGTGAATGCGATTCTATATATCATAACACCAAGTTGGGCGCCAAATTCATTCAAACCCTTGGCAAATGTAGCGGCTGTTTGGCGCCACTGGCGATTTATGGTCCTTGGAGCCGGATTTGAAACTTCATAAGTTTTAAATTAAATGTGCCGTTGAATCGTCAATCATTTAAAAAGCAACTTCGTCTTCATTTTAGTCTAAATCTCCTCTAAAATAGTTCTGTCCTAGAACAAAGTATTTTTTTACTCGATTAAGTATAAGTTGTAATTTTTACAGCACTTTTCTAAAACAGAGAATACCTCCTACTTACTCCTTGATATAATGCTTAAAGAGATGAACTCTCTTGACTAATATTTGCCTAAACTAGGGGACGGGACCAGAAGTAAGAACGGGCTCAAAACTGAACTCCGACAAACGTTATTTCGACATTACGTTACTCCGAAACTACTGAAAGGAAAGCGGTTATCCTTTGTCTAAGTAGTGTGGTATCGAAGTAAAGTCATGTCGATATTCAGAAGTGTCGGAGTAACGCAATGTCGAAGTAACGTTTGTCAGAGTTTACTTAGGTAGCCGTAAGAATGTCCCGTTCCTATCAATTACATCTCCTGTGTAGCCAAGATTTACAGCTTAGTGTGTTAGTAGTTTGCAGTTCTGATTTAACTTAAATATGATTCTGTATTTTGAGTTCATTAATCTCTATCCACTGACACTAACAATAGATTTCTCTAAATCAGCGTTTCATAGTACTATTTTTGCAAGCCACCTGCACATAAATACTTGTCGGACGGCGGACGGCGTCGGACGGCCGTGATGTATTTAGCGGTCGCCGGACGGTTCGGTTATTCGGTTATACACTAATCTGGGCATAAGGGGCAGACCACACTGGGCTACATCGAATAGTTTTGACTACCTATGCATTTAGGTTCTTTCGCCAATTTCGCCTTTGAATTAAATTGAGACAGACAAGTACGCATAATGTATTTTTGGATTTATCTAAACTGAGAAAATGATGGACTTGACGTCGGGAAATATAATAAATGCTCTTAAAAGGGCCTACATACTTTCTTTATCGGGTAATTGCGCATATACCTATGTATTTTACGAGATTTTAAAGAGTGGACGCTCAAAGAAGAGTTAATTTTAATCGAATAAATCGTCAATTAATCGACATTTTGACATATTTCCCATACTGAAACTGTCAATGTGCCAGTTATATCAGGAGTTATTCTCTTATAAAACTTTTGTCGAATCGGCCCTTGTAGGTAAGTGCTTGTATGAACTTGTTAAGCCACAGTACCAGCTACCCATTTCGGTTTTTTCTCTCGCTCTCATCAAATGGCAATTCTTTGCGACAGAACGAGACGACATGACCAGAAAAGGGTAGCTGGAATGTTTTAAATCTGCCCATAGTACAATGTTATAAATCTGATGAATCCTGGCTGTAGTGTGAAGTTTCCCTTAGAATCCAAAACCGTACCACACCTACAGAGCCTGCACCGGACAGCGCGTTATCAATTCGTGCCAATTTGCCGCCGCGCCCGATCGGATCCGTCACGGATCCGTTGCGGACCCGTTACGGATGCGTTCCGGTGCTGCTACGCTGGAGTATTGTGATTTCGTATCGGGCAATCGGTTTGATTCAAGCCGGCAATGAAAATAATGTTTGCGCTTATGAATTTATCTTTTTATGTCTTAGACAAAGAATTTATTTTCTTAGAGTTAGCTTTTCTTAGATTTCGGTATAGTACCAGTTACCAGAGGCAAATAGAGGATTTGGTCTACCTCCCCACGCTTTCCATTAATAATATCGTAAAAGATGACTAAGGAACAAATATGCGAACATCAGTCTGTCTGGCCTGCATAGGGAGTGTAGGTCAAACACTTTATTTGTCTCTGGTAAACTAGAGGGGATTGTCCCGTAGTAAAGACTGAATGATATGATGATGATTGGCCACCCTAAATCCACACTAAATAAATAATCATCAAGACCCGTGTCAAAACGATACACACAAAAATGCTTCGTCCTTACGTTTAACAGTTTGATAATATTTCTTTTTTGTTGTTTCAGCCCGAGAGATTGAACGTATTCAAAAATGACCAAGACAGTTGGGATTATACAGGTGAGTCTCTTTTATTAATATTTCTATTTTAAGAATATCTATAAAGAAAACCATCGACATGTTACAGAAAGAAGCTTAAATAAAATTCAATTCAATCTCGAACAAAGACCAAAAATACAAAATTTGAATTTGAGACCAATTCTGGCACTGAGCCTATAATTGTAATTGATTGTAACTTTGATTTGTTTTGTAATACGGATCACAAAAATAACCAATCATGCAGCATTTGGACCTCGCGTCTACATATTGCCATCTGGCGGATTTTTCATTCGCGAAAACCCTCATTGACAAACTTTTTGGGAGCTGTCAAAAACGAAATCCCCATAGATTTTTTAGCCCGATAATGTCCCGAAGCAGTGGTAGGGTTAATACTGGGACGTGTAAAAGTGCTTTTTAAAAGCTCACTTGTAAATTATTGTGTAATTTACAAGTGATTTAAGCTTTATTTTGTATAGCAATAGCACCCTTTGACGTCATCTTTACGACAGGATGAATTAAAATCTAATTTAACAGTTAATTGAAAATTAATAAGGTTTTCAGGGCTGCAATGGATTAATGGTTATAGATGTCAACTTTCGAATTAAAAATGAGTCATTGATTTTTTTGAAGCCAAAAAAATTTTTTGACGTCAAATTCTTTATTAAAAATATGTCGGTGGTTTACTTTTGAAGCCGGTATACAATTTTATTCGCTTTAAAATTCGTTATTTAAAAACATTCTTTATAACGTTCATTACTTGTGAATATTTTTTGTACTGGCTTAAATTAAATGAAAATTTTTCGAGTCAAAGAGAAAAAGGTGAAAGAGTATATTAAATATTCGCTTCTTTGAAATAATCACTGATAGTTATTAATAATATCATGGTTAACGTTTCATAAAGAATTTTCTGCGTGTTTTATTAATATTTTGTGTTTGTAATATTTTAAGTGATTATTTCGAAGACGTTTTATGATAAAGTTAGTTCTAAGGTCGAAAAATGTAAACAATTAATTAATCATTTTTGTCAACTGTTATTAAGAAAGTTTTTTGTCCTTGTTTACTAAAAGTTAATAAGTCTGTAATTAAATAAATCCTTTCAAATTTCATTCGCTTTGAGGAATGTCCATTATTATTAAATGATCAAACGAACTTACCAAGTGAAGTTCGATCTAAATTATCCTGTTTTCGCCGAAGAGATTTAAGGTACCATGTAGTACCCCTGTACGACAACCCAATCCGCACACAATATTCAGCGCAGTAGTAGTAAAAAAACAAAAGAGCGGGCAACCCCACCCCTACCACGCTGTGGGCTCGGTGTCCGAGCGGTCTCATTATATTTAGAGAAGAGATGACATTGACGTTTACCTCCAGGGAAGAAGATATAGAAATCTTCGGGTTGGGAGGGACCTTAAATCTCTTCGGCGAAAACAGGATAATTTAGATCGAACTTCACTTGGTAAGNGAAAAAAAAGTTACTTAACTCGTAAAAGTGAATAATATTACAATACCTGGTTATCTCGGTGATTAATATCTCGTTTTAACTTGCAAGAGCAAAAACGGCTACTGGTTAAAAAATAACCGAACATAAAGTGGCTGCTGGTTAATTACTTAATGACCCGCAAAAATGACCGATTAAAAAAGTGGTTGCTGGTTAATATCTCGTATTAACTCGCTAGAGCAAAAAATGGCTACTGGGTAACATCTCGCATTACCTCGGAGCAAAAGAATGGCTACTGGGTAACATCTCGCATTACCTCGGAGCAAAAAAATGGCTACTGGTTAACATCGCGTGTTAACTCGGAGCTAAAATGGGTCAAAGTCACGCGTCGTGTCACAACGCTTATAATAAAAATGTACGAGCACTTGCACAAAATCGTTGTTACAACCAACCTTGTGTTGGGTCTAATTCTCGTCACTTCACTGTACAACTTAAAATAATTACGTTTTTTGTCGGTAAAAACGTCCTGGTGACGTCACTTAAGTATTTTTCTTATACTGCGTGCGGTCGTTGCGCGTGCGCACAAAGGAATGAGACCGCTCGGACACCGAGCCCACAGCGTGGTAGGGGTGGGGTTGCCCGCTCTTTTGTTTTTTTACTACTACTGCGCTGAATATTGTGTGCGGATTGGGTTGTCGTACAGGGGTACTACATGGTAAATTAAATCTCGGAGGCGAAAGCAGGATAATTCCAATAATTAATGATTTGACAATTGTTTGGATAACTGACAGTGCTTAATTTAGTATTTTAATTAAAAGTTATATTTTAAAAGATTCAAATTGTTTACATTTTCGATATCTCATTTGAAAGCAGACGTGTGTTAGTATATTAGTGCATGAATAGATGTTAAATATATATTTATATTTTAACACAAAAGAACACTTCACTTCTCTTCACTTCATCATATCAACTACGCTGCATCAACTCTACAATAACCACAGGTAACTTTATATTAAAATTACATACTAAAAAACGTAATTTACAAAAAAGTAATATATGGTAAGCTGTACTACGAGTACTAAATGATATACCATACTAGCGGTCCCCCTTGGATCCCGCTTTACCCCCTCAGAGGCGGAGTTTTGCAAAATCCCGTCTTAGTGAGCACCTACGTTCTAAAAGGAACCCCCATGCAAAATTTGAGACTCCTAGCACTTCCGATTTCTGAGATTTCGTGACGAGTGAGTGAGTGAATCAGTGATCAGCTTTTAAAGATATAGATTATTTAAGTTCTATATTTAGGGTTTTAGGATGACCTTGTTACCTACAATCACCAGTTTTCTTCTTGTCGTATCGACAACAAACCTACACAGTGTCAGCCCAAAACTCCGCTACAAGAGTGGCGTTGTCAGTAGCATTCATTAAATCCTCCTGCGTGCAGTTACTCGGGCACTCAGGGCACGACATCAGGTGCTTCATCGACTGGGGAACAAAACCGCACTTGCACTCCAAGTTTGAGCTATTCAAGAATCCTTTATAAATTCAGGGCCCTGAATCACCTGGAACATTCAAAAAACAAGAAATAATTTGCTTAATACTTCTTTAATTGTTAGAAATAGAAAACGTTCGTAGATTGCTTCAAATTGTACAGTAGAACCGTACCGCTTAGTACGACGTCGCTTATAACGACCCTGCTTTTAGCGACGCATATTCTTGATTTGGTTGGTTGCTTTGTTGAAAAATGACGTAAAAAATTACTTCTTTAGTACGGCGTAATATCATCGGTCCCTTGAGCGTCGTTATAATCGGATTCTACTGTACTTCCCTTCGTAATATCTAACAAAATAAGCTAAACTATTTTTCTGGAATTCCGTATAATAACTTTTTCCAGTAAAAGACAAAGACCAGAATGAACTTGCCCCCATTAACTACTAAGATTGAACTACAGTCCGCGGTGGAGCCACAAAGTAATCCTTGAGATTTGCAATTTCCTCCCCCGGAAGTACCAGCGCCACCGGATGCAGTGGCGATTGAGGAAAGTGGTTTTTCGAGTTACGGGCTCAGCGATGACATAATTACTACTGCGATAAAAGGCAAATGGGGAGAGGTTTTTTCTATGTAAAGTTATAGGTCAATATACATAACCTTTGAACACTCATGGCAAAATGAATAGGCACTTTCTGGGCAGGAATATTCCAGCATAACCTGCATCTACGAGTCTTCCGGCGACTTGGCCCACTTTTAGCTTGGTCCACGGGCCATGTCGCCGGATTAAATTTTCTTTAGCAACATTTTATGTGTATATTATTAAATTAAACACCAAATCAACAAAAATGTAGTCTAGAATCTTAGAGTGGACCTAATTTCCGGCTTTTCTACATAATGCGCCAACGGTGTAAGAAAAGATTGTTCCAATGTGCAATTTAAGACGTTTTACTTTTATTATTATACATTACCCCTCTCGTTAAAAACCTTGGGGAAGGCCTTTGTCCTGCAGTGGATGTCATTTGTCTCTGTCTTATTTGAATAGGTACAATCTAATACTCACATAATTATCACACCCTGGATTCGAGTCCTAACATTCCTTGATTCGAGTCCTTAATATTACCAGGCCTGTTCATCTTCGCGAGTTTACATCGAAAACAAAACACGCACGATGGCCCACCTACAGGATTACTATTCGACAAGGCCTCACATACGAGCGAAAATTGACTCACGCACGCGTATTCTTGTGTATGATGGAAGAAAATAAAGAAAATGGTGTACTAAATACTGTGCAGTATTTAACTGCCTAAATAATAATAAAAACACAGAATGTACTTTTTTAATTTGCCTCAAGACACTGGGAGGTAAATAAGTAGTTAATATTATTCATGATAATTCATGATAATTCATGCTAAATCATGTATTTCCTCCGCCATTTTCCGCAGTTTGGCACCTCACGTCACATCATTTTACCGAAGTCAGCCCTATAGCTTCGGCGCAGTGCCGATCACTGACGTTTGTCAACAAAATTTTGCTTGACTCTTGAGACAGGCTAAATTACACCATATTGTTAATGACATTGAGCATACATTTTTTTAAATACCTTCGCGAAGTAAAACTTCTGTACGTAGTACTTATTATTATTCTGTGATATTACTACCAAATGAATTACCATTTTCTCGGCATTCAAAAGAACAAAACCAACAATAATCCATTTTGCATTTCAACGCGACAGTTATTGTTGTTTACCGCTCCACACAGTCCTTATTCAAGTCACGTGACGGGGAAGTATTAGCGTATCAAGGAACAAAGAAATGAGTGGAGTCGAAATTACGTTGGGTTCCGTAGACGATTTGAAATAATCCCTACTTCCTTACTAATATTATAAACTAGCGGCCGCCCGCGACATCTTACGCGTGGATCCCGTTTTACCCTCTTATGGGTGGAATTTCGTAAAATCTGTTCTAAGTCAGCACCTACGTTCTAAAAGAAACCCCCATGCAAAATTTGAGAATCCTAGTACTTGTAGTTTCAGAGATTTCGTAATGAATGAGTGAGTCAGTCTTCAGTGACCTTTCGCTTTTATAAATAAAGATGT